AAGAGGGGGATATATATATATATATATATATTACAATAATAAAAAACTACTTAATAACTCTATGTAAACTCTTCTATTCACTATGCACATGTGCACACATAAACACTTTCATTATCTCTATTTTTTTGATGTGATTCACAGGAAAAATCTGAATTCAAAATCTTAGAAGGTGCGGTGAGCATAGATTAAACCAGCAATAAGAAAAGGAGCACACCATGAAGAAAAAACTCATATGGGAACACCACAAATATGGAGTGCATGAGGAAAATTTTGCAAAATAATGAATCCCTAAACTTAGAGACCAAATAGAGGGTCAGTTAACAGAGTTGACCCATGCATAATTCGAGGAAAGAGAGCAGGCTCTTTGGAATAGAACCTCCAAGAATGAGGAAAGAGAGTTGGCTCTTTGGAGCAGCTAAGTGGATAGAAAGGCTTGAGGACTCCTAGTACTAAGATATGATGGATCTACACCCTTGAAAAAATAACAGTTTGGACATATTGAGGTCCACTGCTAGCCAAAGAATGTGTTCTCCCGACACATATCTGATGTTGAGCCACTATTAAATTTTAAACTCTCTTCAGTAGAATCATGCAAATATCAGAGTGATCCAACCGACCATATTGCTTCCTTTAAGTTAGTCGTCAACCTTCTCAAGATCTTTGATGCACTTATGTATCGGTTGTTTAACACCATGTCGAGGGACTCCACCCTCATGTAGTTTATTGGCCTCCTAATAAGAGTAATCACATCCTTCATCGAATCCAAGAAAATTTTTACGGTGTAGTTTGTCTGCACTAAGAAACCGCACAAGAACTCACTGGCTCTATGGCATGCCAGATAAGGGCCAAATGTGAACCTTCACTTTTACATCCTCTGATTCCAGAAACAAATGCTGGAGGTACAGGATTTGTAATATGTAGTAGCACAAGCCACCCTGACTCAATGGTTGAGGAGCGAGTTATTCAAGTATGCTCTTGGTTTGCAAAAACCTAAGAGCCTTCCTGTACTCTTAAAGTTAGCCAACAACTACATTATAATAGAGGAGTATGTTCGCCCATCATACCAAAAAGCCGAACAATCCAATCGCTACTCATAGAAAATAGCCTCGGTTAGAGGATGGGTGAAGGTCTAAGGGCGGCTCATGCCTTAGACATAAAGACAGTTAGTTGCTTCGTGACTGTAGAGGGACTAATAAAAACCTACCAGAGAGAGGGATAGAGCCAGGTGAATGACCAACGACCAAACTAGTCCAATCCAAGTAAAATTAAGCATAGATCATGCTAGTAAACCAATTTTGGAAGCTTCTAGTGCCCAATTCGAAGGTTAAATTTACTTCAAATATGAGAAGGCTTGTCATCAAATCAAGCGTCTCGATGAGTCAAATCCAACGAGAAGAAGATTGCTTAATTCTGACATCATCAAGGTACTCAAATGTTCATCAAGTATCGACTAATCAAGATAATCTATATGGGTCATCTGATGAAGTGGTTTGAACTCTTTTCTTATTTGCATAGAGGCCTCTCACAGACTCTGTAAATAGAGTCCTACACCCTCCTTGAGATGGGACTCAAGCATTGAGCCAAAAGAAGACCAAAGCTTGGAGGAGTTGAAGCCCAACATCGCTTATGCCTTGAAGATTCATTGAATACCTCCCACTACTGCAGCTGTCGACCACCATCAACCACCACTTGCAGATGATAGTCAACCACCATCAACTACCCTCTACTTGTTGTAGCAAAGCTCGATGTGGAATCAAGACTTGCAGGGCTGTTGAAAACATATTTTATGCTAACTCTGTTTTGCATAGCTAATGAAGACAAACGATGGAAGTCACCCTAAATTTACTTTACATGTTATTAGTGTGTGTTAACTCTATTTTGTAGGGATGGACATTCAACATAGGAGTAAAAGGATGAACCCCAACTAAACTTTTGACAACAACATAAAACTCTAAGATAGCTCGAAATTTTGAGGAATCCACTACCCTTAAGATAGGACTTTGAAATTCCTTTCCTTAACAATGAAATTTGAAATTTTTGAAGTCGATGGACTTTTCAACTTGAATCTCTGGTTGTGGGGCTTGTTTTTGTAAGGTTTTCCTCATGGGTGTGTCTCCAGAGTATTTTGAGCCGGTCTTACCTCAGACAAAATGTAATGGAGCTCTGTACACGAAGTCCACTTTACAAAGGCTTTTTCCCCATATGTTTCTTTTGTTTGTCCCCATCATTATATGTCTTAGTTATCTGATCTCTTCTCTCAGTAGATCATTCACACAATCAGAGAGAGAGTTATTCGGAAAGAGAGGGTGTACAACGGAAAACAAATTGGCGACTCGAAGAAAATGACACAACAACAACGAGCAACGACAGACAACACACGACAACACGATGACAACTGACAGTAGAGCGGTGGTGGTGCGTGAGCGGCGATGACCAGCGATTAGATATCCTTAATGATAAAGTAAGGATTTTTATATGTCATGCATATTGTTCAATAATAATAATACATAGTTGGCGAGGTTGATAACCGGACAATACAAGAAATGATTATTAAATGTTGCTAGTTCAAGAATATAAAATGTTAGTTTTTTTTTCAAGTGACAGTTAAAGAGAAACATTATAGACTAAGCAGTGGCCAGACCATCTAGCTTGATATTTCTCATTATAATTGTTTTTTTATTCTTCTTAAAAGAGGGGGATTGAGCGATTAAGAGAATGAATATCAAATACCAATGATTAGAAAATATAGAACACGAATCTTTAGTAGCCATCAAGCTAATTGGCAAGAAATTTTAGGGATCTAGAAAATGTCACTTTTTAGTGAGCATTAAAGGAAAATTAATGGACACTTGATGTGTGGTGAATTGAGGTAGCCTACTTGGTTATTCTCTCTATGTTATGGTAGAATGGATGATTGACAAGACTTATATCAAAAGTTCGTGGCTAATAAATGTTAGAATTACTCTTTGGAATATTATGGGACATATTTGAAAGAAGGCAGAGGCTAGCTGACATCCAAATGTCTAACTTATTATTACTTCTTATAATAATGGACATAATAACTAAAGAAGCATACATCTCACATGAGTTCTTAATGAGCACCACAACACTATTTTGCATGTGTTCAGTGGCATACACAAGTGATGTCAAAGGTCAATCAATATTAAGAGGTTTGACTTAATGATTCTCTCTGTATTAGAATAATAAGAAAATAATAAGATTTATATATATATATATTGAGGGAGTAGAAAATAATCACTCTTTCTAATGCATTTGGTGCTAGCAAAAAACACTAAAGGTCAAGCAGGATTAGATTTTCTAACATGACCATTCTCCTTAGAGGAAAAAAGGGGCAGAGCATGGATTTAGGAATGCTTACATCAGATTATGGTGGTCGACATCAGAGGTAAATCCTTGGCTTGAAATAATCAATGATTAATGATGAACTTCCAAGTTTAGGTAATTTAACTTAGTTGTTTGCCTTTTAGGAGAGTAGCCTAAATGACAAGGAAAAATTTTGCTTAAAATCAGTGGTTGACAGACTTTAAATGTGGACAGTTGAATAATATTAAACGGGTGCAATTTCATCATTAAGCAATGAAAAACATAGTTACAAAATTTTATACTTCTAAATTTCTCTTCGTTAGAAAATTTGACTTAAACATCTTGAAGCAAAGCTTATTTATAATTTTTTGAAGTGTGAACACCTTGATCATCTCAACTAAGAATTAGGACACTTTTTTTGATGACTTGAATTGATTTCTTAAATATAATACATTTTTTACCATCATTTCGCCTTTTGTATCTTAAAATGGAATGATATTAGGGTCATGAGATTCATCGCATTAGGATGCTCAACTATATGCATGCATTTTATTTAGAATCTTTCATCAATCAAATATTTACTTGATATAAGCCATATGCATTTGGATCTAGTTATTTGTAATACTTTTGAGTTCATCTCATCAAACCAAACAACTGGACTATAAATTTGCTATAAATGGTGTTTAAATGATCTCACATGAACTCTAGAAAATAAAAACTTTCAAGGCATTTGGCCACATCAAATCATGTTCACTCTCTAATATATAAACATGTGGAATTTGATTTTTCAAGCAATAATAGCTTTCTTAATCATAATTATTTTAAATTGATCTTTTTCATAGATTAATTTGCATGGAGTAATACTTTCCCTAAACCCAAATTATATTGGCTTTACCCACTTAACAACCAACATTTTGGAAACAAAGAAAATTAGAAATTTTATGTTTTGAGAAATGATTTAGCTTTATAAAGGCATCTTAAAAAAGATTTAACTATACCAAACCATTTATTGATTTCATAATGTATTGTTAGTATGGTTCCATTACGCTGCTTTTCCTACTTTCTATCTAATTTCTCTGTTTATTTGGTCCGTTGAGTATTTGTTAAAATTGGATAAAAGCAACCATAATTTATTCATTCAGCATTTAAATTGCAATTGTCCAACTTTGAAATAGAGCCTTAACATCAAATTCTGAACCAGTTTTCTTTGTCTAAAACCCATGATTTTGGCATTTATTTAAAAAATTTAATAAATGTGCCTAGACTGAAACAAGTAAGAGTGTACATTAATCAAAGAACTATAACTTGAATAATATGCTCTCAAATTTCTTAAGGTTGAAATTGTAAATTCTAATTTTGTTTTTGATATTCTTTTGTAAAGAAAATAAAATTTTTATTCAATTTTATTAGTAATGTATATCATTTTATTTTTTTGTATTTTGATTTTGTTGTAGTTGATTCAAATCAAAATATATATGAAGTAAAATTTTGTGGGGTTAAATGATCAGAAAAATCTCTATTTTTTAATTTTGTAAATCACCCAAATGGGA